AAAGTCTCTCTCTCCTCATCCCATTCCTTCTTGACGTCAGACGCTTTTAGTGGAATCTCTGTTTGTTTATTTCACCTTTGGCCCAGCTGTGTCGCCTTCCACCACGACTGCACGGTAGAGTTGACATCGAGGTTCGTCTAGCATCAGGTAACACTGGTCCCAGAGGTCCCAAGATATCACATGCATATATTAGTTAATAACTAAATGGAATCCTCTCTTTCTTTTTCCCAGTAAGAGACGCCTACGGAAGCCAACAGTACATAGAGAGATAAAGCACATAGGCTATAGTTATTAACTAACATATGCATTTATATAAGTCGCCAATTTATAATTGTAACAAATAGTATTTGAATAAAAACATTCAATCGGGTAAAACACGGGCGTTGCCCGGGTCATTCGGCTAGTGAAGAATAAACACAAGTCGGTGAGAAGATATTCTTTATATAAGAGGACGGTCTTACAAGCTCTTAGGCAAGATGTCCTTCTACAGCTGCGAGCGCTGACGTAACACTTTTGGTTACAGTTTCACTTTGCTGCCTGGCCTCTCTCTCGTCACTGGTACGTTTTTGTGGAATCCTTTAAAACTTGTTTTTCAATTATTTATCCATATTTAATTTATAATACACCTATCCCATGATTTACACGGTACTTGTTTTACACGTTTTCGCTTTTACACGGTTTTCCAAATAAGTTTTTTTTTTATCGCACTATACTAAATGCTACTGTGATTGAACACATGCGCTGTGTACACATCTCACGAGGAATCCCGAGCTTATGTGCTGACTACATATTTTAACCTGTCCATGCATTTTATTTTTATTTCTGTGTACACCTACCCCCGATTTACACGTTTTTCTCAGGAACGTATCTACCATGTAAATCGGGGGATAGGTGTATATTGAATTTTTAATATATAGGTTTAATTTTAGAGCTTTTTTTTTTCTCTCTGAAAATGGCTAGTAAAACGGTGCTGTATTTGCCCTTGCGCCAAGAACCGCATGTCAACCATGATTTGCTGTAAATGCAATAAAAACATTTGCGAAGAACATTCAAACCAAATTTGCCAAAATTCCCAGTGAATATTGGCGATTTATTAGATATAAAATAATTTGCGCAAAGCCTGCGAACATCTCTGCTTTTTCACATGTTTTTATGCATGACTTGGTAATTATGAAAATAAAATTTTAAACTTTGCTATCAATTTAATCCTTATTGTCTATCTACTAAAGTAAAATACAATTTTTATTTTTTGAAAAATAATTTTATCATTTTTTATCATCATAAAGTTTGAGCTCGGGAAGCTCGGCACGAGTACCTACGTCCTAAAAACGGGCGCGTTTAATTAAGGGTTAATAATTCACCAGATTTAAAAATGATGTCAAACATCGCTATTTCCATTTCAAGCGCTTCTTTCGTATAATAAAAACTCTATTCGATATTATTTAGTTGTTTCAAAGTGAATGTCTAAATTAAAATAAAAGTTATAAATTAAAATGAAAAATAAAAAATGCCTATTTAAAAGTTGAAAACCTATATATATATTTATAAACGTATATAAATCCTTCCTTATATATATAAAAATGAAATGCGAAATCGATGTTTGTTATCGCATCACGCAAAATCTACTGACTCAATCATTATGGAATTTCGCATGTAGGTAGCTGAAGATTTCGTTTAACATATAGGCTATTCAAAAAACTAAAAAAGTTAATGTGCTTTTTTTAAAAATAAAAAACCAAAAGCGTTAGTTCCAGTCTTTTGCCGCTAGGGCGCAGCACTGGTCGCGACGATAAATGAATTTGATTTTTTTAAAGCATCGGTGGTTCAGTGGTAGAATGCTCGCCTGCCACGCGGGCGGCCAGGGTTCGATTCCCGGCCGATGCATTTTTTTTTAACAATTTTTAAAACTCATTTATATTATATTCTATATCTATCTATATTAATAAAATGCAAATTTCATAAGTGTACATCACTAAAAACTTTCGTTACAATGCATCAATTTCAACCAAATTTTCAACATTTATGTAAAACGAGATGGAGCAGGTTTTGCTTAACATCAAAATATTTTTCCCTAACATTAACATGCGTAACTTCGCTGTTATCGATTAAATACAAAAAAAATCAACAGAGTTAATTTTATTTATATATAAATACAAAATTAAATTTCAACAGAGTTAATTTTTTTACATACTAGCTAATAATCTCAATCTAAAAAAAATATTCAAAACAAGCAATTTTAAGATAACACCATATGTAAAACAGTCGGCCAAGAAAACAAATAACGTGTAATATATATATAATATAATATATAATATATATAATAAAATCTTAAATATTATTTATCAAAAGTAAGATTATCTCAGGATGACACGGGAATTTATTTGAGACAAGAATAATGATACAATTCCAAGGCGAAGATACTATTCCTTTAACTTCCAATTACCGAGGGAACCAATTAATATTGATTTTATTCAACTTCTCGAGTATTTTTCAAGGGACCGGAAAAAAATGTTCACTAGATAAAACGATGATTTTGTAATGTAGAAAATTAGGAAAGACAAAATTCAGGATGACACGGCACACAGGGACCGGGAAAAAATGTTCACTTTCAAATTATCAAAATATATCTTCTTTTTTAAATAAGTTTATAGAGAATTGTTTTAACAAATGTTCGTTAGACAAACCTTTACTCGGGTAAAAACCCGGGCGAAGCCGGGCACATCCGCTAGTATATTAATAAAATGCAAATTTCATAAGTGGTGTTCGCTAAAAACTTTCGTTACAATGCATCAATTTCGACCAAATTTTCAACATTTATGTAAAACGAGATGGAGCAGGTTTTGCTTAACATCAAAATATTTTTCCTAACATTAACATGCGTAACTTCGGTGTTATCGATTAAATACAAAAAAAAATCAACAGAGTTAATTTTTTTACATACTAGCTAATAATCTCAATCTAAAAAAATATTCAAAACAAGCAATTTTAAGATAACACCATATGTAAAACAGTCGGCCAAGAAAACAACAACGCTATTACATCTTTCTCACATATTCACACACAATCTTGATTAATAATTAAAACTAATCTTTAGCATTGTTTATTATACTTCATAATATATAATATTCGTTAGGCAAACTTTCACTCGGATAAAACCCGGGCGAAGCCGGGTACACATCCGCTAGTATTGTTATATACGTTTAAATATATTTTTGAAACATAATATTTTTGAAAACATTTATTAAATTTTTAATAAGATTTCTTATGATATATTCAAAGCTGATATTTTAAACAATAATACACAATGTATTTATTTACAAAAAGGAGAAATATTTCTAACATAAATTAAACTTTATTTTTAGCATGCAGCCCGTAAGTTCGTGGGTAACAAGTGCAAATTTAGTAGTTCCAATTTTGGCCACACGAGCGCCACAAGCGAGCTGATATTAGGTCCGTTAAATAAAAAGGTCGTCTTTTGATTTTCTCTTGTTGTGTATTTGCATACTTGATTTTTTTGGGAACTATTCTGCATAGAGTTATTGATTATGCTTTTTAGTGCTACGACTTATGTATTTGTATTTTTTTTTCGTTCAGTATTTCTAACCATCAGGCTAAACCCTTTAACTTTTAGCTAATTCATTGGTGGAAAAATATTACAAATGTGACATTGCATTGGGTATAAGGTGCATAAATTAAGAAAAAAAAAAGGCATCTCCTTATCGTGCAACTGTAAGTTGCTGATTGGCTTGCGCCATCTATCGGAATAAATATCAACTATTGTTGTTGATTTTTAATTATTCCAGAATTGGCCAAATACCCATTCTTGATTAATCAAGAAAAGCTAACCACGTGCGCGTTTCGGGCTGTTGGCCCTCATCAGCGTGGTGCAAGCTGTATCTCAACCTATTCCGATAAGTATTCCATTATTCCGATAGATGGCACAAACCATCAGCAACTTACAGTTGCACGATAAGAAGATGCCTTTTTTTTTTCTTAATTTATGCATCTTATATATCCCAATACAATGTCACATTTGTAATATTTTTCCACCAATGAATTAGTTAAAAGTTAAGGGGTTTTTAGCCTGATGGTAGAAATACTGAACTAAAAAAAAACAACAAATACACAAGTCGTAGCATTAAAATCATAATTAATAACTCTATGCAAAATATTATCAAAAATAAAAAGATCAAATATGCAAATACACAACAAGAAAAAATCAAAAGACGACCGTTTCAATTTAACGGGTCAAATATCAGCTCGCTTGTGGCGCTCATGTGGCCAAAATTGGAACTAAATTTGCCCTTGTTCAATTTATAGTAAAATATATATGGAAACAGAAATTTGAACAATTTTTTTGACGCGTATAATTATTTTTAAATAAAATAATTTTATACTGCCCTTTCTCTTTAATAATAAAAATATAAAATAAATTATTTTATTTAAAAAAAAAAAGAGAGAGAGAAGCATACGGGTCAATAAATAGTTCATATTTTTGATAACAGATGGCGGGCTAATACATTGACCGTTTTTAATTTATAGTGAAATTTATATATGAACAGAGATTTTAACTATTTTTTGACGTGTATAATTCTTTTTAAATAAAACAATTTTCTTCTGCTTTTACTTTCTGCAAAAAAAAAATAAAAAATAGAACATGCATTAGCGCGCCATCTGTTAACAAAAATATGAACTATTATTGATGCGTATATTTTATATTTTTTATTATTACAGAGAGTAAAGGCAGTAAAATTGTTTCATTTAAAAATAATTATACACGTAAAAAAAAAGTTCAAATTTCTGTTTCCATATAAATTTCACTATATATTGAACAAGATCAATTTTAGTTCCACAATTTTGGCCACACGAGCGCTACAACGAGCTGATATTAGGTCCGTTAAATTGAAAAGTTCGTCTTTTTGATTTTCTCTTGTTGTATATTTGCATATTTGATCTTGTTTTATGGGGAAATCGATTTTATAACTTTAATAATTATTTAAGCCAGGGTAGCCTAGTGGACATGGCATCTGCCCGGTAAGCGGAACACTGTGGGTTCGATTCCCATCCCTGGACACTTTTATTTTTCCGTTTATCATTACTCTTCACAATTCTATCCTTTCATACTTCATCTCTAAGGTTAGAAATAATCGTTATTTCTCCTCAAAATAAATTTCGATTTTTCGTTCAAAAGAAACACATGCGAGATAATTTTCAAATGTCGTTTTACAATCATAAGCCGCATTATATTGTATTATAAATTATTTGAGCATTGCACTAAGGACATTAAAAATTGATTTATTTTTTTTTTAAACGTGGATTGGAGTGGTTAAAGGGAGTTGAGGTAATGAAAAAAAACTTAAAATCATTTAAGCACATATATGTTTCCTTTACACATATCTTTTTTTTCTACTGTTCTTACTATGATGCACTAGCGCGCCATCTGTTATCAAAATTCGAAATTATTATAGACGCGTAAGATTCTTTTTGAAATTAAACAATTTCTACTGTCCTTACTGCAATATGGAAACCATTCCAAGAGTCTAACATCAGTATGAGTATAAAAGTATAATCGAAAAATGAAATATAACAGCGGTATGGTAGATTAAACTGGTGAAACTGCTGGGAGGATTCACCGCTGATGAGCTAAGCCTTCCTAATATATTTTTCATCGCAGTAAGGACAGTAGAAGTTTGTTGTGTGTAAAATAAACATTCGTGCTTTTAATGCTATTATTTTTTATATATAGATTTCGCGTTATTGCCTTATATTAATGGAAGAATGTATTAAAAATGTAGAGACATTTTAATCGTGTGGTAAATACATTCATACGATCTAAAACAAATGACTGGACGACACGAGGAGATGAAGAGGATGGCGGAGGAAGTATTAGAGACTATGTGGCCCACCCTCAGTAGAGGAAGACATTGAAGGAGGGAGATATGGAGAGACCATGTGGCCCACCCTCAGTAGAGGAAGGCATTGAAGGAGGGAGATATGGAGAGACCATGTGGCCCACCCTCAGTAGAGGAAGGCATTGAAGGAGGGAGATATGGAGAGACCATGTGGCCCACCCTCAGTAGAGGAAGACACTGAAGGAGGGAGATATGGAGAGACCATGTGGCCCACCCTCAGTAGAGGAAGGTAATGAAGGAGGGAGATATGGAGAGACCATGTGGCCCACCCTCAGTAGAGGAAGGCATTGAAGGAGGGAGATATGGAGAGACCATGTGGCCCACCCTCAGTAGAGGAAGACACTGAAGGAGGGAGATATGGAGAGACCATGTGGCCCACCCTCAGTAGAGGAATACATTGAAGGAGGGAGATATGGAGAGACCACGTGGCCCACCCTCAGTAGAGGAAGGCATTGAAGGAGGGAGATATGGAGAGACCACGTGGCCTACCCTCAGTAGAGGAAGGCATTGAAGGAGGGAGATATGGAGAGACCATGTGGCCTACCCTCAGTAGAGAAAGGCATTGAAGGAGGGAGATATGGAGAGACCATGTGGCCCACCCTCAGTAGAGGAAGACACTGAAGGAGGGAGATATGGAGAGACCATGTGGCCCACCCTCAGTAGAGGAAGACACTGAAGGAGAGAGATATGGAGAGACCACGTGGCCTACCCTCAGTAGAGGAAGGCATTGAAGGAGGGAGATATGGAGAGACCATGTGGCCCACCCTCAGTAGAGGAAGACATTGAAGGAGGGAGATACGGAGAGATCATGTGGCCCACCCTCAGTAGAGGAAGATACTGAAGGAGGAGGAGATACATAAGAGATCTTGAGTTTCTGATGACAGAATTGTAAGAATACAATTTGACTGCTAATTCACAAGATTCTGGTTTAAAAGGGGCTGCGCAACTACTTTTTATCACCAGTTATTCAACTTGAAGGGTGTTGTGATAACCTTGCCATTTTGGTTTCACTTTATAAACGAGCGAATGCTTTTGTGTGTGTTAAGTTGTTCTTTTTCCATCAAGTTTTCCTCTTGGCAAACATTTACTTTACCTTTCAATCCTATTCCTCTCTTAAAATCAAGCTCTAAGTTAGTATGTATATACGAGTATGATTCTTAAGCCTTAGGTAGGGCAATTAGTATGTTTAATATATAAGGTTATCACAAAAGTTCGTTTTTTCTTAAAACAATGTTTCTCTTATTAATTGGCGAATATAATTATTACGGCGAATACATAATATATAATACATAATACAATTACTTTATACATAATACAAAGACATTATACATAACAGCGAATAATATTGGTATTTCAATTTTTTTTGCAAATGTTTACGAACTTTTGGGACACAACCTTGTAACAATAAAACATTATATTTTTTGTATCACCGTTGTTGTAAATAAAGTAAAAGAAAATAGAAAAAAAGAATTGAGAAAATAATAAATAAACAAATGAATTAATGAATAATTTTGTGTCTAACTATTGTACTTACTGTAGCAATAGGCAGTTGACATTCTCTGGAAGTATTGAACGACAAGATTTGATGAATTTAACTTAATGAGCTCTATTCTATTATGATAATATGATACATAAAAATAAACTTATTTATATCGGAGAAATTATCCTGAACTATTATGCTAATCGCCAATATTTTTGTTAACTTTAGCCTTTTCACTTTCTTCAGTTTCTTTCTTCACTTCTTTATCCTTTTAACTTTCTTTAGCTTCTATAACAGGCTTCTTATCAGCTTCTTATCAACTCTTTAGCCTTTTAACTTTCTTCAGTTTCTATAACAGGCTTCTTATCAACTTCTTTAGCCTTTTCACTTTCTTCAGTTTCTAAACAACGGGCTTCTTTAACAACTTCTTTATCCTTTTCACAGTCTTTAACAGGCTTCTTATCAACTTCTTTAGCCTCTTCAGTTTCTATAACAGGCTTCTTATCAGCTTCTTTAGCCTTTTCACTTTATTCAGTTTCTTCAGTTTCTATAACAGGCTTCTTATCAACTTATTTAGCCTCTTCAGTTTCTATAACAGGCTTATAATAAACTTCTTTAGCCTTTTATTCTTTTCCTCTGAGCTTGAGTTCTTTAACTCCTAGGCTCAAGGCACTCCTATCCCCATAAACAATCCTTACAAATCCTGCCTCCTGCGGAAATATATTTATTTACGGGGCTGCTAACTAAAATATATGATTTTTAAGCCCCAATGGCCGCGTAAAGCGGAATATATACAAAGCACTATGGGGAGGCTAGGGACAGGATCTCCGTCAGGGAAGAGGCAGATTAGGCCGGATTGGGTCCGCGGAGGTCAGGAGGCAGGAAGAAGGCGGGAGGACTAGAACCTTCAGCTCTAGCTCTGGCAGTTGGGCAAGACATAGATCTTGGTTCGTGGTCGGCAGAGAGGCCCTTGGCTGAGTAGTTGGCGCACTTGGCTGTGCGCAGTTTGGCGAGAGTTGGACAGCTTCGGCCTTGGTGGTCACAAGAAGCGCAGTGGAAGCCTGCCTCCGGCTATCTCGCCGTGCCTTTTATACCTTGCTTGCGCAAAGTCTCGCCTCATTGGTTCTTTTTTACGTGATCAGAAAATGATATTATACAAATGAATTAGTTTTAACAGAGGGGGTTAACCTTTTTGGGTGTCCGTGTCTAATCAAGTACTGTCCTGCTCGATTTTTATGTTCTTTTAGCTTCTTGGACAATGTCAATGAACTGCTATTCCACATTACTGTGGTCCATTCCCTTCTTTTCCGATGGTATCTTTATTGAACGCCATTTTGAAGTTACATCAGGTTTGACATATCTATGGGGAACATTCCTATTTGCAACATTGTTTATACACAACAAATATAATGGTGGTGTCTTGTCCATGGAGTAGATCAGATCGGTCCATACACCCTGATCACAATACCAGCCAACTGAGGTGGTAGTGTTTTGTTCATGAAGCAGATCAGATCGGTCCATGCACCCTGATCACAATATGGTCACAATATATTAATAAAGAAGGGAATGGACCACAGTAATGTGGAATAGCAGTTCATTGACATTGTCCAAGAAGCTAAAAGAACATACAAATCGAGCAGGACAGTACTTGATTGGACACGGACACCCAAAAAGGTTAACCCCCTCTGTTAAAACTAATTCATTTGTATAATATCATTTTCTGATCACGTAACAAAGAGCCAATGAGGCGAGACTTTGCGCAAGAAAGTTATAAAAGTCCTGGCGAGATAGTCGGAGGCAGGCTTCCACTGAGCTTTTTGTGACCACCAAGGCCGAAGCTGTCCAACACCAGTTCCGGTAGGATAATGTCTGGGTTTATCTTCATTCCTTCAAAATGTCCTGTTCTTAACAATATCTATATTAATAAAAAGGAAATTTCATAAGTGTTGTTCACTAAAAACTTTCGTTACAATGCATCAATTTCGACCAAATTTTCAACATTTATGTAAAACGAGATGGAGCAGGTTTTGCTTAACATCAAAATATTTTTCCTAACATTAACATGCGTAACTTCGCTGTTATCGATTAAATACAAAAAAAAATCAACAGAGTTAATTTTATATAATATAATATATATATAATATAACGGTATAATAACGGTATAAAGAAATAATGAGCCTATCGTTCAAATTTATAATTGTAACGAATAGTATTTTAATTAAAACATTTTAAAAACACACAGTTTGGAACGGGACGTTTCACAAGAGTGACATCCATGGCGCCAATTTATAATTTTAACGAATAGTATTTGAATTAAAACGTTTTTAAAATATAATAAATATATTATTAATAATATTCGTTAGGCAAACTTCCACTCGGATAAAACCCGGGCGAAGCCGGGTACACATCCGCTAGTATATATATGTGGACCCTCGGTTTACGAGCACCTTGGAGTACGAGCTTTTCGCAGTACGAGCAAAATTTTTTGAAAAATTTTACCTCGGATTACGAGTGAAATTTCGCATTACGAGCAACTCGTGATGGTTGCCCGTAATCGTGATAGATGAAAATTCACTGGGATCCCTCCCTTCAGATCAGATTCGGGAAATATGTAAAATGTGGGAAACTGTGCAATTGTTCGTAGCAAGAAGAATTGCCCGAGTTTCAATTATTAAAAATAAG